AGAAAAAGAGAGAAAATGTTGAGATAGCCACTAGAGAGAAAAAGAGAGAGCAATCACAAGAGAGAAAAGAAAGGGAGTGTTCCGAGAGAAGAGAGAAAACACGAGCGAATTTCTTTGTAAAAGAGATTAATTCGAGGAGGGCGTTAGTTGAGAGAAAAGAGATGATCTTGTTCGTTTATAAGGAATCACTCCTCAATTTTGAGGAAACTAACCCACCCCTCCCTAGTTTGGCTAAATCTTTGTTGCAGGAATTCGACGATATATTTCCAGAGGATGCACCAAGTGGATTGCCGCCTATTCGAGGCATTGAACATCAAATTGACTTCATACTCGGAGCTGTCTTTCCAAATCGACCAGCTTATCGAATCAATCCCGAGGAAACTAAGGAGCTTCAAAAACAAGTGGAGAAGTTGATGAGTAAAGGATACGTGAGGGAAAGCATGAGTCCTTGTGCGGTACCGATTTTGCTTGTGCCAAAAAAGGATGGAACATGGCGAATGTGCGTGGATTGTAGGACTATCAACAACATAACGGTAAAGTATCGTCACCATATACCTAGGTTAGATGACATGCTTGATAAATTACCTGGTGCTTGCATATTTTCTAAAATTGATTTAAAAAGCGGGTATCATCAAATTCGTATGCAGGAGGGTGATGGATGGAAAACGGTTTTTAAAACTTAATACGATTTACATGAATGGTTGGTTATGACGTTTGGACTCACAAATGCACCTAACACTTTTATGCGCTTAATGAATCATGTTTTACGTGCTTTTATAGGAAAATTTGTTGTAGTTTATTTTGACGACATCTTAATTTATAGCAAAGACCTAGGAGAGTATTTGGAACATTTAAAATGTGTGCTAATTGTTTTAAGGAAAGAACAACTCTATACTAATTTTAAGAAATGCACGTTTTGTATGGATAGAGTTATATTTCTTGGATTTGTGGTTAGTACTAATGGGGTAGAAGTAGACGATGAAAAGCTAAAAGCTATTAGAGATTGGCAGACACCTAAAAGTATAACGGAAGTTAGAGTTTTCATGGTTTGGTTAGTTTTTATAGGCGTTTTGTGAAAAATTTTAGCACTATCACTATACCACTTACGGAAGTAGTTAAAAAGAGTGTAGGTTTTCATTAGGGTGATAAACAGGAACTTACATTTAATACTATTAAAGGTAGATTGTGTGAAGCACCTGTTTTGGCATTACCTAACTTTAACAAAACATTCCAGATTGAGTGTGATCATTAGGAATAGGGATTGGAGCAGTTTTAATGCAAGATCGGAGGCCTATCACATATTTCAGCGAGAAATTGAGTAGAGCTGCTTTAAATTATCTTACATATGACAGAGAGCTTTATGCACTTATTCGAGTTTTGGAGATTTGGCAACATTATCTATGGCCAAAGGAGTTCGTAATACACACTGATCATGAGTCACTAAAACACTTGCGGGGACAAGGTAAATTGAACAAGAGGCATGAGCGATGGTTGGAATTCATTGAGACGTTTTCATACGTCATTCGGTATAAGCAAGGTAAGAAAAATGTGGTAGCGGATGCGTTGTCGCGAAGGTACATATTGCTAACTACTCTTGATTCTAAGTTACTTAAATTTGAACATATTAAGGAATTGTATGAAAACGATGTTGATTTTTCGAATATTTATTTGTCATGTAATAAAGGGGCGATTGATAAGTTCTTTAGGCATGAGGGGTATTTATTTCGAAAAAATAGGTTATGTGTTCCTAATTGTTCTATTCGGGAGTTGTTAGTAAGGGAGGTACATAATGGTGGATTGATGGACACTTTGGGTTCAAAAGACTTTAGATGTATTGAAGGAGCATTTTTACTGGCCGAAGATGAAAAGTGAAGTCGAGCGAATTTGTAGTCGATGCATAGGTTGTAAAAGGGCTAAGTCTAAGGTTTTACCTCAAGGTTTGTACACACCTTTACCTACACCTAGCGAGCCTTGGGTTGATATCTCGATGGATTTTGTTTTTGGTTTACCTAGAACTAAGAGAGGTCGGGATTCTGTTTTTGTGGTTGTAGATAGGTTCAGCAAAACGTCATATTTTATACCATGTCACAAAACGAACGATGCCACGAACATTGCTAACTTATTTTTTTAAAGAAATTGTGCGTTTACATGGAGTTCCTAGAAGCATTGTGTCGGATCAGGATATCAAATTTTTAAATCACTTTTGGAGAGTTTTGTGGCGTAAGTTAGGCATTAAGTTACTATTTTCCACAACTTGTCACCCACAGACGGATGGGCAAACCGAGGTAATGAATAGGACCATGACACAATTGTTGCGCACAATAATCAATAAAAATTTGAAATGTTGGGAGGAGTGCCTACCATTTGCTAAATTTGTATACAATCGAGCTGTTCACTCTACTACGTCATATTCTCCATTTGAAATTGTATATGGCTTTAATCCACTAACTCCTTTGGATTTAATTCCTTTACTTGTGAATGAACATGGTAGTTTAAATGACAAAAAGAATGCGGAATTGGTTAAGTCACTCCATGAAAAGGTAAAAGTACAAATTGAAAACAAAAGTAAGTTGGTTACGTCGCAGGAAAACAAAGGTAGGAAGCGCGTGACATTGGAGCGAAAAGATTGGGTTTGGGTGCACTTTAGGAAGGAGCAGTTTCCAGAGCAAAGGAAATCCAAGTTGCAACCGAGAGGCGATGGTCCATTTCAAATTATTGAAAAGATAAATGATAATGCATACAAGTTGGACCTTCCAGGTGAGTATAATGTTTCAGCTACTTTTAATGTATCTGATCTCTCTCTGTTTGATGTAGGTTCATATTCGAGGACGAATCCTTTTGAAGAGAGAGGGGATGATATGACCCAGGAATCGAGCCTGATGAAGGCATGTGCGAGACGAGACCCGTTGATAGTCAATGGCGAACCGATTACGCGAACAAGGGCAAAGCAAGTGAAACAAGCGATGGGATTACTTGTTCAAAAAACCATTGATGGAACCATGTTCATGACTCAAAATGGAGCAACTTTCATGTTCGGGTCGAAGGCCGAATCTACTTGGATCAATTTAATAACGAAGGCCGAAACCGGAGAGAAGTTCCAAGCCTATGCAGTCACATAGGCCAAAGTGGCTCGTGGTTGCATAGAAGCTTACCGAAACTCAAAGGAGAGAACTTGCTTGAACTATGTGACCGCATAGAAATGAGCGTCGCGGTCGCATAGGCCAAATTTTTGGTGAATTTTCTATTTTTGGTAATTTTTCATATTTTGTTAGTTTTTTATTCTTTTTCATATTTTGAGGATTATGCTCGATTTTTGCACGATTTTTACCTAGTTTTTAGGTTTAGTATAAATAGGAGTTTTCATTCAATTGTAAGACACTATGGACATATTTGATATTGAATTAAAGTAAGGCGTATTGTCTTCTCTTCATCGTTCTTCATTGAACAATTTCGAACTTATCAAGTGTTAACTTGTGGCGTTCAAACAACTAGATTTAATTCTTCGATTACGTGATCAAGGGGTCTTTCAAGCGTTGTTCTTGTTGGATTTTTTGGTTCGACTTTCTTTTGGGATTAATCCTAAACTCTTGGATTAATTTGGTTTTCTTGGGTTCGTCAATTTCGCTGTGGGTTTTGTAGTCAACATTGCTAAGGGGTTCGAATCAAAACTTGTTTGGTTGACAAAAATTTTGAAAACGCCATTGTCTCTCTCTCCCCCATACCGCCACTTCCTATCCCTCTCTCTCAGTACTGCCACCTCCAAATTCTCGGCCACCATGGCCACTGGATCGTAGCACCAACTTCAAGCCCACAATGTCATCTACAAACCTGACCCAATAGCTAGCCCTAACTCCGGCCAAATAGGTCAGAATTTCTACTCAAAAGAGGCCAGTCGATAGTGAAAAGAACAGATGAAAACTCCCATTCCGGCGACGATTTATGCATGAATTGATGAAATTGAAGTGTTACCCATGGTTGTAGGGACATGATTAATACTCGACTAATGCTAGAAACTGATTCAATGTCTCCAAAAACACGAATCGAAGCAAAAAAAAAAATCTCGTTCGCGACTACCGATTTTGATTGATTCACATCAGAACGAATTGGTGCATTATTGGTTGATGTTAGGACATGATATTGATCGCCTAGATGAGGGCTATCGGTTGTTGGTGGTGCGCGACAGTGGGAGTCGTCGGAGGTGGATATTCCGGCAGAAAAGGGATCTATGATTTTTTATTTTTGGGTTGGATTTTCTATTACTTTCGGTTGATTTGTGGCTATTGGTTTGTTGGAGATTATAGAGTGGAATGAGGCGAGGCTGATGGTTGTTGTCTCCGATGGTTTCGTCGCACTAAAGTCTTGATTTGATAGCCGGAATGGGGTGTAATAGCAGAGAGTGGAGAGAGAACGACGATTTCTTTTGTTTGAACAGTGATTTTTGAAAATGCCGTGTTTTAATTGTTTTCCATATTTTGGCACTTTTGAACAGAAAACACCCAAAACGAAAAAAAGTCGTTTTGGGTTTTCTTTGTTAAATTTTCTCCTGTTTTCAAAAATGCATTTTCGAAAATAGCTTACCAAACGAGTTTTTTGTTTTTTAGAAAATGGAAAATGGCTCGAAAACGGCAAAGGGAACGCACCCTTACTTTTTGTTTATCTTATTTTGCAAATATAAAAATTATCTACTTCAAAAGAATATAAATTAAATGAAAAAGTGATGCTTCTTTTTACTATCTCTTCTAGTTAGGGATGTCAACGAACCGAAACTCGAGGCTTGAATAAAATGTGCGAGCTTTTGAACAACTCGAGCCAGTGAGCTAAATTGCCGTCCCTACTTCTAGTTCACAATGGATTCCCTGTATTTGTATTCAAGAACCCAATTAAGCAACTCATACAAATCACAAATATATTATTAAAAAAATGAATAAAATACAAAAAGTAAACCCCAAATGCACAAATGTCCACATTATTGATGTTACATCGATATTGATATGTAAACTTTGGAATAGTTATAGGCATAAAACTACAAATTAGTCATTGTATTTAGTTTTCATAAAGGAAAAAGGTGAATATATGAAATAATTCTATGATTAATAGATCAGGCCATGTTTGGTGGCGATAAAATGGCAGCTGTCCGCCTTGGTGGCTGGTGGTGACAGCCGGTGAGATGAGCTGGGAACCAAACCTGAAGCTGTACAATAATTGGAAACCAAATTATTTTATATGAAACGAAAAAAGTCATGTTTATGTGGAAAACCCTAAAGTTTACTATAGAAGTAGATCTACCTAATTTCTAGACTATGTACTGGCAAGGATTGCTGAAGTTGACTAATAATTTGCAGCTCAATAAGCACATGAGGGAGCATTGAGTAAAGATAATTAATGCCACAACCATGTTCTTCTTCATTTGATCTCTCTCTCTCTCTCTCTCTCTCTCATGGCCTCGGCATCACACAGTAGAAATTCCATCTTCAAGAAGGAGAGATTACAGAATCTGTTTTACGCAGCTCCAGTGTTGTTCTATACTGTATTTTTAACAATACTATTCAGTTTTTACGTTCTTTGCTATCCAAGAAGTACCATCAACTACACAGCTAATATTATTCAAGTATACAATCAAACCACCATCTTTATTCAGCCTTATAAAAATGGTAAGTGAAACTGAAAATCCGTTGATTTTTCTTTGATTGATGAATTTGTTTTGAAGAGTTTTTGTATGTTTATGCAGATAGCAGAAGCTGTAACTTGTTTAAGGGTCAGTGGATTTTAGACGAGAGAGGTTCTTTGTATACGAATTTTAGCTGTACGACAATTCCTTACAAAAGAAACTGTTTTCTTAATGGAAGGGAGGATAGAGATTTTTTGCACTGGAGATGGAAACCAGATCAATGTGAACTTCCTCGTTTCAGCCCGAAAACTTTTCTTAGTACGGTTCGAGGGAAGACAATGGCTTTCGTGGGTGATTCAGTAGCCCGGAATCAGATGGAATCCCTTTTGTGCCTCCTGTCTACGGTTAGTCCCTGAAAACCCATCTTCATCAGCATGAATATAGAATAAATTTGGAATTTTGGATGAAGGCGTGGGATTGTTAGTAAAGCCGTAATTTATCCTGAGTCAAAGCGAAACCTGAGAACCCGATTCAGGCCCAAACGCAGGGACCCGTGCAGGTTAGGCGTTAAGAACAAGCGTTCTAAAAGGTCTTTCTAGATTCAAGATTCGGAGGAAACACATTCCCGTCCGTGTCTGGGCGGAAAAATAGATAGTCAACACTTAGGATGCCTTTAGATGGAAATAAGGCACGCGCATTTTTTTGTTAAAAAGTTGAAAAATATGAAGTTCTTATAAACTTCTAAGTTATGCATTATTCTATTTATTTATTAGCAATATTTAAAATTTGAAAAAAAAAAAAGAAAAAAAAAAGGTCTTATTACATCTCAACTCGTAGAATTCGAGATTTAACTTTCATACCTTACACCTTTTAGAACCGTGCTGTGAAGTAAGTGACCTACAAGGGCCAACACAAAAATTTTGAATGAGAAAATGAAGTTAAAGACAATAACACATTTGGCACATGCCCCGTAGGCCTGGTCACCTCAGGATGGCCCAGGGATTAGCACATTGTTATGTTTACTTTGACCGACGCCAATTCATTAGCCCATAGTATTAATTCTAACATGATGATTAAATTAAGAACCAACTGTAATAGATTGATAAAACTGTCATCCTATTAAGAAAAAGAAAGCAAGAAAGCAAGAGCTAATTATTATTATTATTATTATTATTATTATTATTATTATTATTATTATTATTATTATTTCTTTTTTTTTTTTAAATACTATCATGACATAGTCACATTCTTCAACATAGCATAATTCCCAACACTAAGCTCGTTAATAAATTACAGCACTCGAAGTTTGAGATTCTTTGAACTTAAAGGAATATCGATGAAACGAACAATATGAATTTGACATGTTAATATTTTATTGCAATTACAGGTAGAAACTCCAAAAGAAGTATACAAGGATACTGAAGATCAATTTAGGGCATGGGAATTTTCGAAGCATAACTTCACCCTGATGGCTTTCTGGTCTCAGTTCCTAGTCATTGCAACTGAGAGAGTAGTAAACGGTTCAACCACTGGAGGTTTTGATTTGCAACTCGACAAGGTTGATCAAAATTGGTCTGAGAAACTAGATCTCATGGATTATGTAATTTTCTCGGACGCCCACTGGTTCCTCAGGCAGAATTATTTATACGAGAGCGACAATCTTATAGGCTGTGTATACTGCCAGGCACCAAACGTGACAGATCTTGGGCCAAGTTTCGCCATTAAAAGAGCCTTCCAAACTGCATTTAAGCAAATTAATGAGTGCAAGAACTGTAAAAAAATATTTACAGTTTTGAGGACATTTTCACCTTCTCATTTTGAGAATGGCACGTGGAACACGGGAGGTGGGTGCAACAGAACTCGACCTATAACGAAAGAAGAAGTTGTTGGGAGGGATTCGGATTGGGAATTCAAGAAAATTCAAGTGGAACAAATCGAAATGGCAAGAAAATTAGGAGATTATAGAGGGAACCGGTTTGAAATTCTTGATATTACAGAAATTATGGTGATTAGACCAGATGGGCACCCGGGATTATACTGGGGGAACCAATGGATGAAAGGTTACAGTGACTGCATCCATTGGTGCCTGCCTGGCCCCATTGATACATGGAATGAATTTTTGTTGGAGATGATCCAGAGATAAATTTTTTCCATAATGAGAAATTCAAATTTGTATTTTAGTTTAAATGCTCTCTTTTTTTTTTTTTTTTTAAACATATCTTCTTTTTGCTAGAAACTCCAATATTTTCTTGAGACGTTGCTCTATTAAAACCTTTGATGCAAAAATGTTAAGTAGGACTAGTCGCACAATGAACAAAATTTTAACACATTTTCTTCTCAAATACTGTATAATATTATTTAATCTTCCCTACAAAACATGCTTTGCAGTTAAAGCTTTCAAAATTTAACTTCAAATTTTGGAAAGAAATGTATCGTTCAGATTGTCAATACCATTTTAAGGGTGGCAATGGTCGGCTCGTCCCAGGCCTTGCAATAAATAGGGCCAGGCTTGTCCCTATTTTCAAAAGTTGGACCGCCATGTTCTTCTTCTTTAACAACCTACATGACTTTTTAACCCTGACCCCATCCCACCCAAGACAGGCTCAGTGGCACCTCAATCTAACATAGAACATATCAAATTCTTTCCAAGACTATTCTACTTCCTCTTCCTAGTCAAATCTCCAAAAAGTTACCAAAGATATTGATATGTAAACTTTTGAATAGTAAAAGGGCATAAAACTACTTATAACAAATGTTCAACAGTGAATCCCATTTTTTAAAATTCATTTTTAATCATACATTTTATTGAACTCACAATTTTTATCAATTTTTTAATCACATTTCATCACTTTTATCAAAATCTAATAAAACTACGTTTTTTTAACAAAACCAAATAGGGGCTAGCTAAATCCGGAGAGTTAGTATGTGTTTATAAATTAGGCCATTTTTTTGGCAAGAATATCACGGCAGACCAGCATGGTTTGGTGGAGCTAGCAAACCAAAGCCAAGGCTATATAGCAACTGAAAGGGAAATTGGAAAGAAAACTCCATGGCATCAGTATCACCCTGCAGAAATCAAATGTTGATGAACGAGAGATTACTCGATATGTGTAATGTAGCTTCACCTTCACTATTGTTCTTTTTAACCGTTCATCTCACTTTCTGCCTTCTTTACCACCCCAGAACCAATACTGTTGGATATGAGTGAAATAATGATCCACCGACTTCTTGTTTGAAGAGTTTACAAATGTCTTTCCGGGTAACAGAAGTTGCAACTTGTTTAATGGTCGGTGGATTCTTCATATACAAATTGTTTTAGTTGTACCTCAAAGCACTGCCTCAATTTGACAATAGTTCATATCGCACTTTTGTGTTTCTTATATGCATAAGTTGGAAATAGTCATTGTCCAACCAATTAAAAGAATAGTTTCTTTATTCATTTTTTTATTTGTTTGTACAATTTAAATTGTTCTATAATAAATTTTGAAAATTATTTATGTTGTATTATATGAGCTTATGTTGCATTTTACTTTTTTTCAATAGTTTATTTTGGTTTACATCTCGCCTTCTCAATATTCGATTAGTCTTTTCAAAAGTACTTTTTATGAAATAAACCTAATGTTTTACAAGAAAAGTGAAAAGATCCTCAAGGGAAGTCCAATTTTTCTTTGATTGAACTACTAATAAATGGTGACAAGATATAACATTTCAACAAGAAGTTTGTATATTTTTCTTCTTCTTGACGCGAAAAAACTTCAAATCAAACCAACTAGGAAGACAACATTTGCAACACTCTCAAAACTCACAATCACAAACAAAACCAGTACTTCTTAAACGGTTAAACCCAAAAAGAATTTTTTTTTTCCATTTTATTTTATATCTTATTTTAGCATTATCTTATTCCTTATTTCAATTGCTTTTACCCAAAAATGAAATTTGTTTATCTTCCTCAGGAATCTAATCTGCAGGAACATGCAAATCAACACAACCTTACAAGGAAGCCTGTTAATAAATTGATCAACCCCATCTAAACATGGTATAAATATTACATATTATGAAAGAAATAGGTGGATAAATATTACATATTAACTTTGAGATTTGGATGGTTGGAAAATTATATTTATTGAAGCGATTAGGTTAGGTGGGGTGGGAAAATCACGACTTTAAAAAATTGTGGAAGTGAGAATTGACAGTTGAATTAGTATGGGAGGGGAAAAAAAAGTCAAAATAGCAACCTATTTAAAGTGCTCTCCTTCTGCCCATTGGGGGCAGGAGAACAATCCTGATAAAAATCAATTGTGCTACACGTACATCAACGCCCCTCACACAAAGGGGCTCACGCTTTGTTTTTTATGAGCGTGAACTCCTCCCTCATGTGAAAGGCGTGTACACCGACATACAAATAGCAAAATTTTATAAATATCCCATAATTCCGACGGTCAAAGTTCAAAACCAAATTCAAATCATTCCGAATAGTTTATTAAACTTCTATTCTAGCAAGCAAAAGTCGTACAAATAGAACAATTCTTCGTTCCCTCCTAGCTACATACAATTATTAAATTGTACTTGTTTTCAATTTAGCCGAACTCGTATGCATCATCGAGCACTTCATAAATTTAGAAATTAATTCGAGGCAAAGGTGTTTGTGCCGATCTGAAAATTGCATGGGGGTACAAATCCACAACGGAAAATAATATGAGGAAACAAAAAGAAACCTTAAGAGGTTAACCAGGACAAAGGTAGTCGACTCGCGGGTGCGCGATTGCTGATGTCGGACCGCTGTAAGCCTATTCCTTTATACCCGACAAATTGAGCCATAAACCTGAAAATTTCTGCACATTAATTCAATTTCCATCGAAATCATTTGCAGACTGCATGCAAATCAACTGCTCCCCCAAAAAGCGCAAGGACGAAAAATGTAGCCAGGAGATCGGCAGTAAATGGAGGGAGGAGTGTTTTTCTATGGAATAAGTAAAAATAATTACAATAAAATAATTACAAAGGATCATATGGCAACTAAAATAAACTAAAAATGCATTAAATAAAATAAAAGCATTTACAGAAATTCGGCATATTATATTTTTTCCTTAATTATCCATGCAATGTAAAATCTTCAAAAATGCTGCTGAAAACTAATGCAGCAATTGCCGTAAGAGATGAACTACAGCTGCCAACTTCTCAGAAAAATGTACTATTTGGAGTTTTCCTCTTTTTTCTTCTCAAATTTGGCATTGCTCGAAGAGGTCTCAAGGGACCATTCCTAGTCTCGTCCTCCTCAGTATCATTGAGAAAAGTTGATGCCTTGGAACAATCACTTCGTATTGCAGCATTCGTATTCGGCTCAGTATTAGAAGCACCAATACCCCTTCCACACTCGACTCCATCCGACGTTCTTGTTGGGGTAGAAATTGACACGTCAATCTGAGGATTTTCTAGCACATCATCTGACATATCGAAGGGATCAGAGTTTACAGAGATCGTTGCTCTCATAGGGCTCGATGCAGGCTCAACACCCTCCATTTCTTCACCTTCCTCGTCCAAACAAAATCCACCGCCAAATTTCAAATGTTCATTCGAAGACGTCTCAATGGAAGGACCATCTGTTTGACTGGCATTTATTTTATCCATACAATTTTCATGCTCCATCTCATCCACACAAAATCCACCTCCATCTTCAAGATCTTCATTCACGTTGCTCTTGATCGTACCAATATCTGCTTTAGCTACTGAATCTTCATCACATTTTTCACCCTCCTGACCTTCTATGTCAGGATCATGAAATTCATCAGAAACAGTGTAATTCACTACCTTCCGAGGGCGTTCTGACTGAAAAAAAAAAAAAAAAAAAAAAGAATTAATGTAAAATATAAATAGATGATAATCGTGAAAACGATTAAAGTAAAAAGTACAAAAACATTTATACACGCAGCATGAGGTCATGAGTAATTTCTATGGATTATTCCTTTCCTTATTTTCCAATGTGACTTTTTTTGTTCCTTTTTATTGGGGGTTTGGCCCCCTTCCTCAAGGTAACAATGACAAGCACAGAAACCGAACACAAGAACAAAAGTGTTTCAGTTCAAATTCAAGTTAATTACCCAATCAAGTCTATGCTATAGGCGCACATCTATTTTACAGAGATGCAGATGTACAAAAGTGAACTTACCCTTCGAACTTGATGAGAGACTTCTGATTTCTCGAACTGCAATTCTTGCTCCTCACTAACATTTTGATCATCAGAGCTAGTTTCAATGTCTCGAGAACAAGAATTCTTTTTCCTCCTCCCTCTCCCATTTTGTCGTCCTCGTCCATATGATTCTTTACTGGTCTTACTCTTTTCCTTTGTTTGTCTTCCTTTTGATTGCTTACCAGTTATTTTCTCTATGTTGTCGATCTGATTCCCAGTATCAACTTTCTCTAGTCCAGTTGAACCTTCTCCCGATATGTTTGCCTCTTCATCAGTGGTGTTCACTTTTCTTTTCTTTCCACTTCTAGATTTTTGCTGCATTGTGTCATCCATCAACCCTGAATATTTATTCCCTGCTATTCCTTGGACAGCTTTTTTAATCCTCCTACTTCGAATCTTAGCAAATCTTTCATTGAATGTGTAAAAGGCTTCCAAGCGCAGTTGTGTCTACATCAAACCAATAAATGATTGTGTTGATGACAATTATCTTGCTCTTTAACTATAATTACATTTTTTTTTAGCGAAAAAGTTGAAAAAGACAGAAGAAACAGTATGCAGAAAGAAGATAAATGGGTAAAACAGAAGTATCAACATTCAGAACATAAATTTGGTTGAAGTCAAAATAAAGCAGAGCCATCGCCTCAGGTCTGTAATGCAGAAGAAGATCGTATTTAACTTAGAGTCAAGCTACTTGCTTATTTTCTTCAAATGTTTGAAAAGAATATTCTTGACATCCTGACTAGGAATTAGCAATAAAATAAAATAACAGAATCCAACTTCGATGGAGATCGCAAAATTAGTGCTTGCTGAGATAAGCTTTTAAGTGCTTATAAACAGTGAGTCCCAAAGTTAAAAAGTAGGTTCCCAAGGAATGTGTGGTTAAAAATCATGTGTGACTAGCTTATAAGCACTTAAAACCTATGCCAAACATAAACTTATGCTGATTTATGAGCTGAAATCCCACCAAGTCCTCGTTAGTAAGTAGATGATGAAATAAAAAAGCAAGGGTTAAGTTCCAGGGTAGCAGTAGCACTGTCCTTTCACTCCGGGTAAACGTACACATCTATTCCAGAGGAAGAAAAAACAAGCAATGAAATGAACTAGGAACATGGCAGGTATTGTTCATCGATGTAGTTTTTCCCCACTGTCTGCAATTCTTTGTACGAATGCATCTCTCTTTGTATCTCTTCTGGGGGAAGGGAGGGTAAAAAGATGGAGAAAACTACCTCATGCTTGTTATACTCCTTTAGAACTGGTAACAGCAACTCATCTGCTTTTGAAGCTCCCCAACCAAACTTCTCCAAACATAATCTACATGCAAACAAATCTCATCATGTTCTATTAAAGGCTGAGAAAGGCAGGTAATTTAATTTGCATTTAAAGGGCAAAAGATCTTCTGGAAACAGGCAATTGACGCAACCCAATGCGGCTGACCCAGCTTACATGAACAAAATGCCTTGCACACCCCTTGCTACCACTTAGAAACAGCATCCAACCATAAGTCATGAAAATGCCTGTGTTTTTAAATTTTTTAAAGGTATCCAACCCTGAGGTGAAAACTACTTATATATCTCTCATATAAATGGAAAGGTACGCTTCAGAGGCGGAGTTCAGAATACCAATACCAATGAGTTTTCTCTATTGCAGAGCAATTTAACAAATGATTTTATCTTTCGACATACCATCGTTCTATGATATTTTTGTTAAGAAAATTGAGCTCTAGACAATAAGATGTTACTGCAATTATAAAGGATCGCTAATAGGAGCAAATGTTGTGGCAGGAGCAGTTTCTATGGCTAAATTAGGATGTGGAATATATGCAAAATGAAATGTATAGACATGTAATTTACTATATAATCAAGCTACATTAGAGTCAAACCATGAGAACATCGAAATAACACTTCAATGCTGACCAGTACCACTTAATACCTCACAAGTAAACCAATCTCAACAAACTTACTTGCGAAGAACAAAAAGATCAGGCTTTCCCCATGAGAAAGGTTCTGTTGACTTGTCTACTTGCGGAGATGCGTATGCTGAAATAACAGCATCACTTGGGAAGGAAGAAGGAATATGCCAGTTTTTGCTCACATTTCTCTACAGAAAGAGAGGTCGATGATTTCCAACGTGACAAATAAATAAATAAATAATATTGGAAATCATGCCAGCATAATGAAGTAGCATCTGTATGGAAAAGTAAGGAGAAAAGGTGTTACATGCTTATCCATGAAAATCTGTTTTATCTTTCGAGTTCCATCCACAGATTGTGGACCATTTTGATCAGAAGTAGAAATTTCTTCTCCATTACTGCTTGAGTCGCCATCTTTAGACCCTTTATTGTTTAAATGGCTCCCTTCTTTCCCTTCAAATTTTCCTAGAATGGTTGGATCAGGTGATTCAATCCACTCCCGAAATTCATGAAGGCCGTCTTTCTCCGGAAACGCATTTACAACCTCAATTGCATTAACAATGCCAATGCCACTGTACCATTCAAAGAATCACACAAAATGGGTTCTCACTTTAAATACTGATGAAGAGGTCTCAAGAACAGAAGTAAAAAGTATTCAAGGGGGACATGGAGACACACAGATTGATATTTACCTCACACCTTCAGTATAATCACTCCCAAGAAGCAGGGCCATATGGATAAGTTTTTCTCTATCCAACCCAAGCTCATTCTCAATGTCCTGGAAAACAACATGAATAGCGTCAAGCCCTCAAATAATGAAAGAAAGAAATGATCAATATTACTTAAAGAAATAACTGGAACTCCATTCATATTTTAATTAAAGTTAAACATGCTACAAAAACTAAAGGAAAACTATAAAAAAAACATATCATCCTCATTCCAATAAATTTCCTTTGATCAACTATAAATTCATTATAAGCTAGATTCAAACAAATTGGTATAAGATTTTACTACAACTGGAATCTCAGTATAGCGAAGCTCAGTAGTCATGCAGGTTCCATACCTTCATAAAATACGTCTCCACATATTTACGATCATCAAAGATGTTTTTGTACACACTTCTTGCACCAAATAGTAACACATCAGAGTCATCAGTAACCACACCATCAACAAGGTTGGCAAGTTCCATATATGCACATTGAGCTTCAGCTTCCATTGGAGCAATAATATATGGTAAACCAAACATCTGAAGCAGCTCCTAAAAATTAATAACAGAATTGACATTGTTAATCACCAGTTCACACTAGACTAACATATATGGCAAAAATAGGAATAATTATGAAATCTGGGAATAAAATTGCCTCAACAGAATAGAGAACACATGTACGAGAGAGAGTAACAAAACTACTTAAAAGATAATCAAAACATAATAAACTTTCAGGGAAGTATATTAGTAGGCTATGATGCTCAGACTCAGGTATGGATATCGGGTACGAATACGTATCTAAATGTTGGATCTTTTATTTTCTAAAATGTAGGATATGAAGACATAGCTAAAAAGAATTTAAATTTCGAACATGCGTACTTGGGTATACCATTCAAACTTCAATTTTTTTACTAATTCAAGATATCATTTTGAATAGACCAAAATCAATTGTTCTCAAAGAAGGAGATAGTATTGAATAAGGAGTTAAAAAGAATAAAATAAAATTTTGAGGTTTAGCTTTCAATAATGGGAAGTTAATTATTAAATGTTATATAAAATAGAAAATGAAGGACTTGATTGCAATTTGAATTTAATGGAACACTAAATAGCATTATATGGAACTCATTTTCATTTTATACAAATAAAACCCTAAATCACCATTACAGAGAAGGAAAGAAAGGAAAAGAAAACGGAAAGAAGATGGGAAAATCTGGCGCCGTCGCCTTTCTCCACCCTTTCAGAGACAGCGCTAGGTTTATAGAGAATAGAAACGGAAAGAAAAGAAAAGGAAAAAGAAAAAGAAGGAAGCAAAAAATTGCAAAGTATCCGGTTGAAATTTGGAGGATCCGACATATATCACATATTCATACCCATACCCATACTCATATCACGTCCAACACGGACACTCCGGTCATTTCGAAGAATCCAAGCATCAGAGTTAGTAGGTATCCTAAGATCTCAAGTGACCTGCCCAACCATCTTAATGTGCCAAGTTGACCACGAAACCAAGGAACCAAATCGGACACAAAAATCAGTTATGACAACCAATAGCGATACAGGTTTTGCACACATCTCCACCCACCATGCAACCCATCCATAGTCACATGGAAACCTCAAGGCCATATGTATTTTCAGTCTCTGCTCCCAAATCCTTGCTTTTGTCCTGTTTTCAATTCTTTGAATTCACAATCAGATCAATGTTCCAGAGGCAAATATTATCTTGACGTGTTATAAGATTCAGCACTCCTAACAAAAAAGATTAAACTGATAAACCCAAGAGAAAGTAGGCTAGTGATGAAGTAAGGAAGTTGAAAACTACAAATAAAACCTCAAAACCATGTTGTGACCAGAATACTCCCAGAGACGATAAGTTATAGGGAATGAAGCATATGAGTTTGTGCATTTGCCTAATTACCATAATATATGTTATTTTTGTGAATGCGACGGTGGGACAAAAAGACAAATAATTACCAGTAACATCCCCCCATGAATAAATATAGAAGTGATGATGTGTACAAAAATGATTCATACACTAGACACCATTAATAATGGGGACAATCACAAAGTAACGTTCTGTTTTCATAAATACGTGACCCAAAGTATAACTATGGGCTTGGTTGAATAATAAAGAAACTATGACATGCACAAAAATCCATGATTAATTCCATAACCAACTCAGCATATTGAAACATATCTGTGACAAGAAAAATTTAATAGGTTGATGAATGTGTTGTCTTGATTAATTATAAAGATAAGTGTATTGAATAGTTGAATCCAAATGCAACCTTACTTTCCTAGTTGTAAGGAGACCAAGAAGAAAAGAAAATAATACTTCTTAGACTCTAATGAACCCAAAAAAAGGGACGTGTAACTCACAGGTCTGTCAAAAGAAACCAGAGGGAATTATGATACAGACACACGAGAACTTTGGGACAACAGGCAGATCTTCATTGTGGCATTATTTTCACAACCTTCTATGCTAATCAACTACGTCATTATCTTAAAAGAAAGAATTCCCTTAGCTTTTCTAGAACAAACTCTCAGATCCAACTACATGACCCTTCACCCATTTCTCTTTGCTCATGCCTTCTCTCACTAGTCCTAATGAATTTTATCCGTTACAATGAGCTGAAGTTACTTTAATAGGGTATTCATCAGTGTCATAGCAAAAATTCAATCAAAAATGTAGTACCTGGCTTTTGGAAGCATACCTGGCATTCAGCAAACATTTCGCTGCTCACAGATTCTGCATTTCTCTCAAGTTTCCGTTGCTCACTTCCTAGTTCTTCACGCTCCTTACCTAAAACCATCAGTTCATCCTCCAAACGTGCCTTTGCAACTTCATGCTCCTCCTCATCCTTGTATGTAAAAGCAAAATTGCTTTTAGTTTCTTCCTTTTCCACTGAAAAGTCACCATAGACCAAATTTCGTGCAGCATCTCCGTCAGTTGTCAAATCCTTAGCAGAAAGCTTTCCATGATCTGTTGAACCACAATTTTCATCCATTGTTGTTTGAAACACACCATGTTGAGCATCAGAATAACAAAATTCAGGCAATTTATCGGGCAGTAAATTATCAAAGGACGAAGTAACAGCAGCACTACTACTGCTACTACGACTACTATGTGCAACACCTCTGCTACAGATATCCAATAGCTCATTCACCATTTGCTTCTCATCATCTTTGTTACAAGTAGTTAACTGTTTGTCGTTCTTGCACATCTTCTCTTCAAGTGAAGCATCTGATCCCACAGGTATTTCTCCAGGCAAAGCTTGTGTAAAAAAGTTTGTCTCTAGGTTGCTTTCACGAGGGTCAACTTCCTTTGAAGAATTGGTCCCTGAGATATTCATTACAACAGGTGGTCCAGGTGGCTGTAGGATACCATCTGAGGGCGCTTCCACCTCTGGTTTGTTCTTATTTTCATGAACAGGTTCCCAGTCAATGTCCTTGCCTACCATTTGTCTGGCTCTTCTAGATTCCTGATCTTCGCAAGGTTCATTAATAATTCTGGAATCCACCATATCCTCAAGACTTCGTCTAATTGCTTCCTGAAATTCAGCTTCTTCTTCCAAAGAACCTTTGGTGAAAGTTTTCTCACTTTTATCTGGACATGATGAAGCCTTCTCAGGAATATCTAGAGATCCTTCCTCCCACTCCACTTCATCCTCATCGCCCATGCCACCTTCAATCTGCGATGGCTCATTTACCACTTTAAAGTCATTGATAACAATATTACATCTATCTTTGTTTACTCCTACACCTATCTGATAATCTGAGGTAGAATACAAAGGTAGAATACATCTATCTTCCAAAGAACCTTTGGTGAAAGTTTTCTCACTTTTATCTGGACATGATGAAGCCTTCTCAG